TACATATACATAAAATGCGAGTAACGAGACGAATCTCGCAACGTAAAGAAATGTTCGTTCGTACAATGTACATATATACATATGTACACGCAACATTTTCTTGTATCGATTCGAACAATTTGATACAATGAAGCACTTCTACCCAGTGATGGAAAAGTAGGCACAATAGTGCCATTTTTGCCCTTACATTCTTAGAGGCACTTTTGGTACAATTCATCCTGTTTTGGCACTATCATAAAATATAGAAGTTAAGCATAAAATGCCAATATATAACAAAAAATTACATACCACATTATAGATTAAAAAATTAGAAAAAGTGAAAATTAAAAGCACTTACAAATTAAAGTAAGGGCTGTAAGAAATATTTACAAATCGCTGAATTCTGTTGTGAATATGTAGTACGAAAATTAAGTTTTCGCCCCAACAAGCTTTTAATTCAGAATTACGGGAAAGATTCTAAGTTCGCAGTTTTATAGTTTATTAAATGAAAGTGGCAGTTTCTGCAATATCCCGATCATGTTTGATATTTTTTTCTGACGGTGTGATACATTTTGATCCGTTTAAAAAAATTTCGAACACACTTTATATGGAAAAAATGCATAACATCGAAAACTTGGAATCTCCCTAAAAATTCTGAATTCAAAGTATTTTGTTGCGAAAACCTGCCGAGTTTTTATAATTTTTGTACAAAGTTTGAAATGCCGATTTGTGTGCATTTATTGTGTTCATTAAATTAAGAATTATACTTTTATTTAAAATTAATTAAAAAATAATCAATGAAAATAATAGGCGAAACTGGTCAAAATATCTTACTGCCCTTACTTCGCAAATAGGTACATACGTATGAGTGTAAGAATGTCAGAATAGCTGTACTTCGGTGTATTTCCTTTCCGTAATTGGAATTCTTTTTACTATGAATTTATCTTTTATGTCTAATAGGCAACATAGACGGTGCGTCTGACTCGCAAGTCAACTGTGTACGTGTTCACTCGCCTTTCGACTACACACAGTTGAGTCATACCAGAGTCATGTCGGTGTAACTAACACATATTTACTTTTACTTAACACATCCAAACCGACTCGCGATTCAGACGCACCGTGTATGCCGCTTATAAAGAATCTCTCATAAAGGTGATTTACTGTAATAATTTAGTTAATTAAAAATTTTTATATTAAGAAATAATTCTTATTAAAGAAATTTAATTTTGTGGCACTTTCATATTCTTTTTGGCACAATTTTTAGACCTTTAGGCTCATTTTGAAATATTGAAATTCCATCCCTGCTTGTACCTCACACGAATCATGCATGCATGTACGTACATACACACGCAACACACTTCAGTATCGATACGAAAAACAGTTTCGTTACCGCACAATATGTACGCAACATAGTTTTGTATCGATTCGAACCATTTGATACAATCAAGCATGATAAAAACATAGCAAGGTAGAACCGTTCTCTCAATTTGTCGGCCATGATTTTATTTTGAAGTTTGCCAACATTTTAAAATCATATAAAAGTGAAAATAAAAAATTGAAATTGTTCGAAATTGTTGTTGCTTGAGATTGAAAATGAAAATGTGTGTGTGAGTTTGTGAGTAAAATTAAAAATTAAACCCACTGGGAAAATAGGTAAGCACCTTGCGAGGTAAGCCATGTTTTCTTTCAGTTTTTAGTACCAAAATTGTCATCATTGCCAATGTCATCTACTAGTAAAGGGCAAAATGAACACCTCCGAAGACACATTACGTTGTCAGTTGCAAAATAACGTGCAGCCGAAGGTATTTCCAAGCACCGAACTACTCCGAGCGACTGCTCTGCATTACTAGTAACTTACTTTGTAAAGCGGCTCAGAAGTATGTCTGATACCAAATTTACATTCTAAATTCCTACTTACATAAGGCGGCCATGCCTTTGTAAAAGTAAGGGACGTTCGGCAGGGAAATGGTAATGACTGCCAGGTGAAGAGTAAGTTGCTAATAAGGTATTATTACGTGCTCCTAATTCCCACTGGGAATTGTTTGGAAACGTCAAGAATTTTAAAAGTGACTCTCAGCGGTTCTTTTTATCATGCAATCAAGCACTTGTACCTCACACGAATCATGCATGCATGTACGTACATACACACGCAACACACTTTAGTATCGATACGAAAAACAGTTTCGTTACCGCACAATATGTTGTGTTGTATTGATTCACGATGATGGTGCATATACGGAACATGCGAGTAACGAGATTATTATGTGAGTAACGATTCGGTACTTCGAGTCAGGGGTTGTATTCGTTACTCAGTAACGAATACATACGGTTTGCTACAGCTCTATTGTAAAGGTCTTGTAGAGCCTGTTCAGAAAATGTATTCAAGTTTCGTAAACGAACATAAACAAAAGCCGTTTTTTTGCTTTTCCCGTTTTAAGGAGGTATGAGGCTACACCCAACATATTTAATGTTTTTATATAGGTCGATACCTTTCCAACGATACCTTATATATAGAGTTCCGGTTACTAGTTGGAAAGATATAGAGCTAAATTTATTTTGGTTCGTGTCTCCACTACGAGATGCTTTGCGATGTGTGTAGCGTCTGTACGTACCTTCACTTAATTTTTTTCAAACTTTCAGTAATTAAAGTATCAAAAAACTAGGAAGGTTTTGTTCCAGGATGTTTCGAATCGTATGCCTTTGTGGGCGTGACTGGTGCCTGAAATTCGAAAAAAGGCAGTGTTTTAAACTACTACTGAGGACGCACTACTCATTCCATACCATTCATGTGGATATCAGTAGGGCCTTAAAATATAAATATGTCATAACGTTACCGCCTAAAAACTAAAAATCGGGCTACTGAAAATATGGATTTCGAAAATTTTCTCAAAAACTGGTCAGTCGATTTTATTCTCGTTTTCCCCAACTCTTGTTGTGGAGATATTACGATTCAAATTGAAAAAATTATTAAAATTATTAAATTAAAAATTTGTTTTCTTGTACATACATAAGTATACATGTATGTACGTACCAGAGACTGGCTTGCGTTGAACGCAAACTATTGCAAACTCAATCAATACTGCTGCTTTATATGACTGAGCAGCGCGTTGGCTTAGTAGCAGGGATGAAAAATGGAAATTTCAGATTGTACCTAATATCATAAAATAAATGTACCTAATTGAGACAGATTGTACCTAAAAAAAGTTACTTCATTCATTTTGTAGTTTTTTTTATAAATTTTATTTAAAACATGAATACAAAATATGGATGTACTTTAAACAGGATTAGTTTTTTTTTAACTAAATAGACTATAGTATAATGGGAATAATAGTACTACTGAAAAATATTGGCGAAAAAGACAAAAAACACGCTTTGCGAAGTATACTTCTTTATCCAACTTTTTATAAAACAACAGGAAAAGTCTGCTAATTTATCCGAGAAAATAATCAAATTGCCGTAAGTAACTTCGAAAGCATTTTAAATATATTTCCAGAAATCAAAAAGCGAATATAGGTCAAATAGCTTTAGTTCTCATCTAAAGAAAATATGAAATTTTAAGACATCCTAGACACTGGACTGTATGGGCGAATAAAGACTGGTTTTCATTATGTCATATTTTGACACAACTTTCTTTCCTTTATCCCTACTTTTATCGATGATATTACGGGCAAAAAACTTACAAATAGCCGCTTTAACAGCGCACGTACACGCTTGAAGGCCTATTGTGATCTAAATCAATCAAAATACAATTTTTTAGTCTCATTTGACGATTGGTTTTCACTCATTTGACTGCAAATGCCATTTAGTTTGACTTAGTGAAAATAAGCGTTAAAATTAATAGAAACAAGTAAGAGCAGCGCTGTCTTCGGCTATGCCGAAGGCTTCATACCTTTCATGAACATCTGCAAATTTTAGTTTGACAGATTACTGATTTTGAATACATCTGCATACATCGATAGAGGAGTTACATACTTATATAAAAAATCGCCTCTAAACAATCAGAGGTATGGAGGATATAGTTTATATGGCACCAATCTAAGTGATTTTCACTGCTATGTGATCTGTATGTAAACCGGTAACACAATTTATTGGGTTTAGTTTCCTACATAAAGGAGATATATCGCAAAAACTGGTATCTGAACAATCAGTGCTATAGGAGATAAAGCTTATACAGCATAGATTTTGACGATTTTCTCAGTAGACTTTGTATTATTATTTATAAAATATCTTACGAAATTTATCGGTTTTAGCTGTTCAAATAAAGGAGTTTTACAGTAAAATCCCATATCTGAACAATCAGATGTATGGAAGATATATGTTGTAGTCACCCGATCCTTGTTATTTTCACTGTAAGTATTCTGTTAATAATGAGTGAAAATGGTGCGAAATTTCATGTTCCTAGCTGCATAAATGGAGGAGATATGATAAAAGACCTCATATCTGAACAATCAGTTGTATGGGGGATGCAGGTTATAGTGAACCGATCTTCGTTATTTTCACTGTAAGTCTTTTGCTGATAATGAGTAAAAACAGCGCGAAATTTCATGGTCCTAGCTGCATAAATGGATGAATTATAACGAAAAATCTCATATCTGAACAATCAGTTGTATGGGAGCTATAGGTTATAGTTATCCGATCTTTTTAATTTTCACTGTAAGTTTTCTGTTGATAATTATTGAAAACAGTGCGGAATTTGCTGTTCCCAGCTATATAAATGGAGGAGTTATAACGAAAAATTTTATATCTGAACAATCAGTTGTATGGGAGCTATAGGTTATAGTAACCCGATCTTTGTAATTTTCACTGTAAGCATTCTGCTGATAATGGGTGCAAGTGCTGCGAAATTTCATGTTCGTAGCTGCATAAATGGTGACGTTATAACGAAAAATCTCATATCTGA